CCCCACGGTTGGGGCGGGATACAGGGCTCGACAGTGCTCGTGTGCTCGTCATCCACCGTGTGCCTGTAGTGGGGAGAGTGGCTCGGAGGCCTTACCTCACCCCGTCCTCTGCACGGACCGAGGCGTTGACATCCCGGTGACAGCGTTGCAGTTACGGGAGAACCTTTAACGAGGTGTATTTTATTTGCAGTTGTGCTGACTTGTTTCTCTTGGGGAGAGCAGGGTTACAGTTCTAACCAAAGAAACCAAACTGATCTACATGTGCTTCGCTATCCTTTGGAAGAATGACAGATGACAAAGATGTACTTCGAGATGTGTGGTTTGGACGAATACCGGCCTGTTTCACTCTGTATCAGGATGAGATGACTGAAAGGGAAGCTGAACCTTACTATGTGAGTATAGTGAAGGTAGTTGCAGATAGTCCAATGCCATAGTTTTGATTGTTTCCTTCATTTGCATCATGTGTGTTGCTGCATGTTAAGGAAAAAAAAAAAGACACAATTTTTTCTCCTTTTTCCTGGTGCTTTCTGAAAGTAAATCATACAACCGTTCTGCATGAGTTGTTTCTCTTCACAGTAGGTTCAAAACTTTTAAGCTTGTTTCACCAGAGAGATAAACTTGTCACAGATAATTAAGATCTTAAAATTATGAAAAAGTCAATAAGTAATTAGGTAAAAGGAGGAGGATTTATACATGCTCATGGTGAGTTTGTATGTTCTTGGATAATGACCAGGGAGAGAGAACTTTTGTGTTACCTTGCTACAGAAATAACTTCAGTCAGAGCTTTGTGCAGTCTTAAGCACCAAGATCACTCACCCGTGTAATGCACACTCGGAAGGAACACTGGCTCCAGTATTTCTGCTCATGGACTGTTTCTACTCATTTTCTTTCCTTAAATGCTAGCAGCCGTCAGAGATCTAGCTCAGGTGCAGGAAAAACAGCTATAATGTCTTAACAGCACAGTGCCTGAACTGGCGTGCTAGCTGATGATAAAAATGAGGGTGATGGATGTATTTGAGTTGTAAATTGGAAGGGCCTTCTATAATCATATGGTATTTATGTATAGTGTGCTCAGCAGTTTTTTTCCTTTCAGCACCTAAGAGGCATTTGATGGATAGAGAACGTTAGCTGGTTCAGTGAAACTTGAATTTGAAATGTAACAAGTGTGTGGGAGGAAAATCTTGTACTATGAGGTTTTTATGTGATTCTGAAATCCTTAAATCTTGTCACGTCCTATTCTGCTCTTTTTTGAAAATATTACTAGGTAGAGATATTTTTTTCTTCGGTGTTTAATAGCATCTTTCTGTCATCAGTTTCTGATTTATGTGTGTGTTCTGTGAGTTTCTGAAACCTAGTAAAGCATTAATGCTTTTAGTTCAGTGATTATAGTGCTTGTCTTTCTATGTTTTAACTTAACCACTGGTAAAACAGAAGCACTTCTACTTCATGCGGTTGACCTATTGCTGAATGCATCTGAACTGTCTAGAAGTCTCAGACTTTAAATTTCTTTTATATATATATATATGAGTTAAAATATATACATATACCTTTCGCACAGCTCTTATACAATATATAAGTTTAATTATAGAGACATGCGGTCTTGAGCTGTTTAACATCAGCATGGAAACTCTGAAACCATGTTATCTTCATGGTGTGGCCAACTTTCTAAACCAGGAAGATAATCTTAAGCTGGTAGGGTTTCTTTTATTTACTCTGCTTGAAGTGTGCACAAAAATTTTCAAGGCTTAATTCTCTGTTTCTGCAAAATCTGGTTATTCACAAATCACAATTCTAAAATTTTAGCTTCTTCCATTTGCAGGTCATGTTGAAGCTGATAATATAGCTTTGCTTTTTGAAGGGACCAAGGATTTACAGTAGTAAAAGGCGGAATAGCAATCAAGGTTTTAAATCATGGTTTAGTTCTCATGGTTTCAGAGTGCATCTACGTTGGTGTTTTTGTTGACATCTGGAATGCATTTTTGAAGCAAGTCTTCATCCCTTCCACTTACTGTGCCCAGGTTTGCATCACACAGCAGTCTTATAGCCCACAAGCTGAATAATTTTCATGTGAAGCTGAAGAAGAAAATGTGCTTCGGCTGCTAATGGGCATTTAGTGTGTGGGATCAAACTGGAGCTAAATTGAAATTTGATCAAAACCCCCAAAGTTGAAGTAAAAAAGTATATTCCAAGCTCTCCACACCAGCTGTTCAGCTTTACATGTGTCCTCTTATCACACCTTGGTATTTGTTAATATAGATACAACCTCTGTATTCCTGACTGCCATCCAGAAATGGGAAATACTGGCATCATTATGTTAAAGGGGGGAAAAAATGCTTTTGCTCCGAGGAACTTGCTTTATGAAGATGAAGACGTAGACCTGGAGGATGAGGGGTTAGAATAACAGCCTAGAATCTGTGTGTTGGATTTCAGTTCACTGCCAGTGATGTGGCAGGAAACCTGTGTCTGTCAGATGTATTAGCACAGCACAGGAGTGATGCCTGCACATATCACATTATGGCACGGCATGGGGGTAGCAGAGCTAATTTAAAATGAGCTTGTCTATCTTTTGGAAAGAGTAGTAACATCAAGACTAAGCAGTTTAAGTAAAACACTGTCCTATTTATTCCTATAGTCAAGCCAGAGGTAGGTTTCTGCAGTTACTGGAAACGGATACGTCAAGTTTCTTTGGAGTGTTACCTACGGTTGCTTGTGTTTGGAGTGGAAGCATCATTAGGAACAGCTAGGTTGGGCTACCTTTGTTACTGAGCTATCTGATTTTTTCCTAGGCCTAAAATTGTTATGATTTTTTTTTTTCCGATGGTGTGTACTGTCTGCCTCTTGGTGCAAACAACAGTTAGAAACAAAATGTGTACAGGAAGTGGAGTACTCATTGGCTGAGATTTGTCAGGTGTAAAGAACAAAATTACAGCAGCCTTTACTGGGCCACTCTTCAAGGTTCCCCAGTGTCAAAAGGGTTGTTTTATTAAGATGTCTGTAAGAGTGAGCAACGTGAAGCCATTCCATGTTAGGATGTTTTGTGTCTTCATCTTGGATACATCAGACAAGTCCAGTTCCTGTTAAATCTAGAATTTTTCTGTTTTATAGTCAGTTTTGCATATAAAATGGTATTTTGCTTTGCAACAAAACCTGTGGAGATAGCTGGAGAGGTACTCTTTTAACACAAAGATATATTGCAAGCATTTACTTAGGCATTAGGAGTTCCTTGCATTTCATTTAACTTCTACATAAAGCATTCCTGGTTATTCTGATTAAATACTGCAGCAATACACAATATGCAAAAGAAAGATGTTGTGGTTTGTGTAATTTTGGGGATGGCATGTTCTAGCCTCCTGGGATTTATTCTGCCTGGTAATGTATTTGGAGATTTACTTTTGCTTTCTTAATTTAATAAGGGAAATTATAATCTTATTTGTTTGTCCCCTGTCCCTCCCTTCAGTTTTGTGTAGCTATTTTGGTTTAAGCTGAGCATATATGAATTGTGTGCATGTTTTTCCCAATTTCTTTCAAATCTAGGGCTAGAAATCGTATCAAAAGCAGTCAGTTATTGTTGTGTCTCATTTTTAATCAGGAGCCAGTACCTCTTTACATTAAAATGATTAAATAATTACATTGTCTGTGGACATTGACTTAAGAATGCAGGCGTGAATATGAATTCTAGGGTTTTTTCATGTTCTCGGAGGGTATTTTATTAATTGTTAGCAGTGAGTGATTTGTTTATCTTGTCTTCATTACTGTTGCGATGGTCAGACTGACCCCAACAGGTCGTGAGCATCTGCTTGCCTTTAAACCATGCACTCTGACTACTTTGAAGGAGTTTATGCCAGTTTCTTGGTTTTATACAGAGTAGGAGAAAACTTACACAGCTGGTTGCTGGAGGGAAAGGCACGCAGCCTCACTTAACGTTTCTGGAGTCCTTGCTTGGTCTTGACACTTAAAAGCAATTCACCCACTGACTGCTTTAGACCTCTCTTGAATCTTCTTACAAGTCTGTCCTTTCTAGGGGACAAGACAGACGTGGCTCCTTCTGAGCCATGAAGCTAAACTGAAAGTGGGGGGTTTCATTCAGGTTTCTTTGTTATGCAGCATAGCGAGTGACCAGCGTTACAGTCATCTGCTGTTCATCGGCGGGCAGTATGGCAGAGTCAGTGGCCAGACAACTTGAATCAAAACTGGGATTCTCTTCTGTCTAATTCCTTATGTGTTACATCATGCACTTTCCTATTAGTTATTTTCTATCGTACACTATTTAAATTAATAACTATTGAATCTATGCTAAATATGCACTCAGTCTAATTGTTAAAGTCTTTGGTACTACCTTGTCTGCGTATTTGCCCATGCATTACTGTAGGTCATTTAATTTATGGTGGGCATTCTGTCTTTTAACATATTATGTAGTGGTTTATCAGTCCTACATTCAGGTTGCAGTTGTTACATTACGTGCATTGTTGGATGTGTTTGATTTTCATAGCATTGTTCTAACCTTCAGTGCAAAGTCTGCTGATACAAGGTTGTTTGTCCAGAAAATAAAAAGAAAATAGCAGTTGAGCAAATCTGGCCTAGTGGAATGAGTTTAACTTGGATTAGTAGGTTTCACTTATCACTGAATCATGGCCATTTGTTCCAAGCATTTAGAAATTCTGCTGTAGGGTAAGCAAAGGGTGAAGGGGTGTAGCCTCAGTGGCTTGCGCGGACTGGTTTACGGTCAGTAGCAAAAGCATTTGTGGGACAATTGTCATTCTGGGGAGCACAGCTTTGCCTAAAAGGAGTCTCCTCGCCTCATGGCTGAAGTGTTGGAGAAGCTTGTGAGTGTCTAATAGTCTACAAGGTGAACTGCTGTGTAGAATTCTGGTTTTCATATAGAGGCCTTAATAAAACAATTAACATGACTGCTGTCGGAGAGATTGACTAAAGCCCAGTGTATGACAGAATCATAGAATAGTTTGGGTTGGAAGGTCATGTAGTCAACCCCCATATAGTTAAATACATTGGGGTTTTTTTTTCCTAAATATTTTTTGTTACCTTTGTTCTGGAAATACTCAGTAATAGCATTTAAAAATTACAGGATTTTGGAGTAAAAATGTTTTGTGTCAACTGGTGTCTTCCACTGAGTGTACATGGCAGGTGGAGAAGGGATATTAAAAGGGGTGACAAAATGAAAGTGTCTTCAAACTATGCTTTTAAAAGTCTTTCTGAACGGATTTAGTATGCTTGTAAATCTCTAGGATAATTAAAGCTAGAAAAGTGATAGAACTGGTTTCTTTCATGTTTCACATGGAAGGGGAAGAGTGTAGCGAGGTAGAAGAGGTGGGAAGACTGAAAAAAGAGATCAGCAGGTGCTGCAAATGCTCAGCATCTCTGCAAAACCGGCGGTCCCTGTTAACCTAATTAACTGTTGGGCTTTGGACTCCAAAGAGGCCCTTTGGGAGTGCTGGCCATGTTCTGTTAAATTCAGTTAAATGCTGTTTGGTTATTGTCTGTGTTCTCCAATTAGGTTGAAATACAAACTGCGTTGTCCTTCTACACTACAAACTGAAGTAAAACATTTTACAAATGAAAGTAGTTATGCAGTTTAAAGGATTATGTCAAACAGTGTTGCAATCAGTAATGCTTTAATGTATTTATCAATTCCTGCACGGCTGTGCTACGTGCACCATGCTGACGGTTGGCTTCTGTAGTGGTCCGAATGAGTCTTATATCAGGATATGCCAGCATTAGTTTGACTGCAAATATCATGCAGAAATAACATGGAATTATTACAAAAATGTTTGGGCTTGATTGGAATAGCCTGGACTATATTGTGTCAGGAACAATCAGTGTAGATATGTGGAATTAGGTTAATAAAGGAAAATATTATATTGTCATTCAAGTCACTGGGCTATTGAACAGTTCTTACTTGAGTATGACCATGACTTAATTGAATTTGTTAAGATTGTTCACCTTTTAAAACTGAAGGCTGTGTTTAATTGCTTTGCTGAATCAGAGTCCTGTGAAAGAAGGTAGAAACAACATGATGATGGTAATAAGAGCAATAGATGTAAAAAGAAAACCAAACATAACTATCACGTGTTAACTGGCTTGATGACTGAGATAGTGGTGAGTCTTGCTCTTTTGCAGGTTTATATAATCCTAAAATTTAGTTGTTTCACAGGTATAGGCAAATTAATAACCTAATGCTCTTCTCCCTCTGACCACGTCAAAAGAGTCAAGAACTTGCTTTTTTACTGGTTTTGTCTTAGTATGTTGGACACTACTGTTCTGCATCTTCTGAGTACAGAATTTTATAGCTTTTCATTGACCATTAATAAGTAAACCTTCTAAAAGACATCTTACCTTAAAGAGGGGAAAAAAAGAATGCTGACTAAATTTGGGTTATGAAAATGCTTACTTGTTACAGATCTTTATTAATTTATTAAATTTTATGTATACTTGAAGCTTCTATAACTTTTTTTTCTTTCAGTTGCTTTTGCCAAGGATAAGCTACTTGACACTGGTGACAGACAAAGTAAAGAAACACTTTCAGAAAGTTATGAGACAAGAGGAAGTTAGTGAAATATGGTTTGAATATGAAGGTACACCACTGAAATGGTGAGTTCATTTAACTTTGTACCTTTACTCAATTTGTCGTGTAAAGAGTTATCAAGCTCAGCACAGTGTCAGTACTTTTCCTAAGCTAATCACTCCATTGGGTTTCAAAGACAGCAAAAGAGGAGGAGGGTGAGAAAAGCATGTTGTTTGGGAAAACCAGAAGAAGGTTTAATGTTGAACATATTTTTGTTTATTCTGCTTGTGCTTACTAAATGTGTAAGACAGAGGTTGTGCTACACTTTACTGTTTTTGTTCTGGTTGTTACCGTATTACAAAATGTCTGTGGTTTTGACTTTACAGTTTCTTGCAGTAGAATCACCAAATAAATTTTTGTTTAGCTTATTCTACGTTGTTAAAAGATGCTTAATAACACAGATAAGTATTTCTGGAGTCTGAAATGCAAATAGGATATGCTTAAAGATAATAAAACATGAATGTAACCTTCACTTCTCACGTCTGATATGTGCTTGCACTGTAAAACAGATAATCTAATACTGATGCATAGGATCTTGTTGAATTCAATTAGTTCAACTTTATTGAACTAATTGCTGTTGATTCTACTTTTGTTCTGTCATATGGTGCATTAAAAGTATCTTTTTTTTTTCCTGAGAGGTTGAGGAATCAGATTGTGATTGTTTCATTTACTTAGTTTTCATAAATGCTGTTTGTCAGATTTTATTTCTTTCTATTTCTGCCATAAAGAGTTTTAAAGGAAACATTTTGAGAGCTGCAATGTTTGCTAGCTCTGTATAGATAGCATCAGCTCTCCAGAAAGTATTTCGTATTTTGAATGCTGAAAAGATTTTCTATCTCTCTTTATTTCCTGTTTCGTAATAGGAAAGAAAACTACCAATGACTGGTTTATCTTTTTGAACCTGGATTGTTCTGTGATTAACAAGCATCACATCATGGAGTCCCTTTAGACTTGGTGATGCAGTACATCTCTTCTAGTCTTTTGTTTCTTTGAGACCAACCTAGTATAAACCTCGAAAATATGTAAACAGAAAAGCATGAAAACTAGCTTTTTTTCACTTTTTCAGAACTGGCTGTCAAAGCCAGCTTTAGACATCTATTTAAATTGTCTGGAATTTAACAATAACTGATTTCTTGGTGTGCCATAGTGACACTGAGTCATGATGGATACTGTCTAGATAAACAACAAGGTACCAAGTTTGTCCCAGTGTTTTCGTGATCTTAGGTAGATAATGGGAGGAAACTTCAGAAGTTGTCACTGAAGTTGTAACAAGAAAGGAAAGAGAGGCTTTTTACTTCGGCCAAAAATAGGTCTGTGTTTTCTGTAACTTTTCAAATACCGTGATGTTTAAACTAGAATAAAAAAAAAAAAAACTCAAATAATAGACTATAGTACAGAGTAAAAATTATAATTCTAAAATTAAGTGAAGAGCTAGTAAACTGATTGAACATTGAAATGAAAATGAATAGTGTAATTATGATATGCTAATACAGGTCTGATCTTTCAGAAAATCTAAGCATATCATGCTGGGAACAGCTCCCCTGATTCCAGTGGACTTGCTTTTCTAAGGAAAATGTTATCTGCAAACCATTATTTTAGGAGGATGGTAATCCCCGAAGTAGCTGAAACTCGTTCTGGGGAAGACCCAAATACCAGAACTGAGAATTAGATTGAGCTGGTAGTTTGTAGGCAAAGAGTAGTGAGCATTAACGCTTAAAGTATAACTTCTACATCCAAAATCCAATAGAACTTGCTTATTGCCGTTATTTACTTTGAACTGTGAGGTCATATGAGACTGCACAGACTGTAAGTCATACCTGGTTGGGATGTGGTTTATTTCCTTTCAGCTGCAGCTCTTCTGTGTTCCAGTGAGATTTTGGAGGAAATCTGAAATGTAGTTTCAACTTCATGGTCTGCAGCACGCAGACCGTGCTCCTGAAGGAGAACACAGCTCTCCAGGTCTGGACTTACAAGGGCCTGGGGCATCCCACCAAAGTTGTTGGGGCAGAGGAAGATGGTCTCTTTGCCTGCAGAAGGTGTGTGCTGGGGGAGGGTCTGTGTCACCAAGTGAAGGAGCTACAGGAAGAGGTCATCAGACTGTGTGGCATCAGAGACTGCAAAAGGAAATGGATCAAATCTTCTCAGAAGCTCTGCAGCTACAGGAACCTAAACCTACAACTATATTGAAGGAGATGTGGGCAGAATCTGTGATTATTGGATTGGGAAATAGTCTCCTAAGATATAGAAGGGCTGGAAGCTTGTGACTTCTGGCAACAGGAGGAAGGCTGCTCCTCTACCTGCATTTCTGTAACTACAGGATAGAGTCATTGCTCTGGGTGCAGGTGAGGGACCGAAAGGTCTGTCCAATGATGCATCTGAGGTGGGTGAGCTTGAACTGAGCAGGGCACCACGAGGCAAGTGAAATCAAAGGTCTGTATTCTGCTTGCTCTCTTTTATCAGTCTCCCCAGGACCTTGAGCTCTGACATTTCATGGTTGCTACAGGCAAAGCTGCCACTGATTGTCACATCTAGAACTATTTTGTCTTGATAGTAAATAACAGATTCAGCTGCAGGTCAGCTCTGGTCCATCCAATGCCTGTATCAGGAAATCTTGGCTACTTGGGTCCTACTGCGTTGCTTTTCCAGCAGATGTCAGAGATTAACAAGAACCAGGATCTGTGATGCAGAAACATGTTTAAACAATTCAAAAATATTTCATCTACTTCCTCACCATGAACTGTAACAAATGCACCATGAAGTTGCTTACTAGTCTTTCCTCTGATCCTGAACCACAAGGTCTCAACCACTGCGTCTACGCTGCTCCCTCACATGGAAGACAGCCCTCTTCACTCATCTGCCCTGCATGTCTTTCCTGAGTAGCTTACGTCCATCCATCCACAACAGCGTTCCAGTTGTGAAGCTGTTTCACCATATTTCAGGTAGCCCAGCACTGTCACAGTTAATGGCACTGCATGTGGAGCTCTAGTTTCTTTTGCTTGGTTCCCAAGCTGTGTGCATTTATGTACATACACTTGTGGTTGACTTCCCTCTATCGTCTTCTATTGCTTTGGGATCCTCCTTGTAGCTGTCATCTTTCGCCACTAGCCTTCCACTCATGTTCGTTAATTTCTACTTGTCTGTGGGTTGTTATGCACACCCCTGTTGTTTATGGTCTAAAGCCTGGTCTCCTCACCAGGCTGGCCAACCTGAAGGCAAAGATACTTTTGCCCCACTTAGGTGGATTCCATCTCTCCCTAGCAGTCTTTTATCCCCAAAGTGTGTCCTGTGGCTGTAAAAGCCAAGGCCTTGTTGTCACACAAGCTGCATAACCAGTTGTTGACCAGCATTCATGCTTCTCTGAGCCTTTCTCCTTCAATGACAAAACTGTGGAGAAGCCACCTTGCCCCTGGAGCTGTATGGTCACTCTTGGTACACTCAGGGGTTCCCTCATAGAATTTATGATTTGTGCCCATGTGGTTGAACAGCAAGGACTAATAATCCAAGCACGGGACAAACCTTGCCAATCTGTCTGCAGCTTCTTAACAAGCAGCAAACCTCTGCAGGTAGTGAGATTGGTGGATGGGGGAAGGCTCTGTCCCCTGTAGGAGGGAGTCTCCTACCACTCTGACTGCTTCCTCTTGGTGTGGATGTGCTGTTCAGGCTGCTCTGATGGTTCCTCAGAGCTTCCAGCCCCTTCTCTGTCATTGAGGCACCAGCTGCAGGTGGAGGAGGAGCCTACCTTCTCTTTCCAGAGGCTGCAAGACTCTGGTCTTCCCCATCTTGCGAGTCTGCATTCACCACTCCGATGACTGCAGACCCTCTTCCTGTGCAGCTGGGAGTTCTGGCTCTTGACTTTGCAATGTCTCAGTGAAGGTGCCATCAATCTCTTTTTATCTTCCCTGATGCTGTGCAGCCCGCTGACCTCCTGCAGCTCCTTCACTAACACACACCTCCTCTAGGTGAGGACACTGCCTCTGCTTGTCCCAGCCCTCAGGAGAGGTCCCAAGCTCTCCTGGCAGCTCGAGACATGGGGAGCTGCATTGTCTCTTAGGAGCTCTGCCTGAGTGAAGGCCTCTGATGTGCCTGGGGTGATGTCTTCAGTAGATGCTAGGGGATGACACCTTGTAGCTTGTTACTGTCCTATTTGAGCACTTGCATGTGGTCTTCAGCAGAGCTTCTGTCCCCTTTCTGTGGATTGTGCTCTAGCCCTCGTAGTTGCATACATGTCTCTAGTATGAACTGGATGTATGCTTGACCCTCCCTAATCAGGAATCCGTGGAAGACAAAAGGTCAAAGCACCAGTTGATCGGGCATAGCTGAGATATTGTTTGAAAACACTAGAGTTTGTTGAGAACATCTAAGAAAAAAATATTTCTTACTGAATACTAGAGGAAAAGGTAAGACTATTTTCTGATGCAGAAAAATTTCCCTCAATGAGGCATTTGTTTGTAGAAATACCTAAGCACCAGATTTTGTCTACTTGGTACACTTAGTACCCCAAACAGTTCTGGATGTCCTGGATTTATCAGTTCATGTGACATGTCTTACTGAATTACTGCAGTAAATTGTATTTTGGTCTGACAACAACTTATGAATTCATGCTGTCACCTCCTGTCCTGGGTTCAGAAGGAAATTGTTGGAAAAGTAGTAATTAATTTTCCTTACTGTCCATCTGTCACTTTCAAAAGGATTTTAAGTACTTAAGTGTTTTCCAGGACTTATCTCGAACTCTGGAACCACCTTCTGTATATAATAAAAGCAGTAATGAGTTGACAATGGCTAGAAGTCAAGGTGCTGTTACACTTTTATAGATTGAAGACTTTCTAGAACCAGTCATTAGCAACTTGTAAAAAAAAAGATTTGTGATCTCTTAAAAATTTTCTCTTTGGTATTTTTTCCTGTTATTTCCTTTGAGAAAGTTCTACACAGTCTGCCTGTCCTTGCCTTCCACTTTAGTTAAGACCAGTTTGATTTCAACAATCCAATAATATTTTTTGGAAATGATACCTTTCTGGACTGGACACTTCCCTTAGCTGTTGTTCTGTTTGTTTTCTTTTTAGGGGGGGCAGATCCTTAAAGGCTCTCTTGTGTTTTTTAATTCTTTGGTTTTTTTTAATTCTGGTTACTGTAGGTTCTAGAGAGCATTTGTGTATTTCTTTAATTGCAATGCCTATTTTTCAAATAGAAGTTCAGAAACAGCATTGTTGCAGTATCACTGGAAGCAAGATCTTTAATGAGGGAATACTGGCTCTTAGCACAAGGTATAGACATGCTTAAGAATAAAGTGAGGGAATGTTGAGGGCTTTTAATTCCATGTATAGATTGACAATTCTCTTATTTGCTTCTCAACTTCTCTCTTTGTACCTCCCTTAATTCTCTATCCTGGTTAAGAAAACAGGTTTTGTTATGAAGGAAGTGTAAAGAATAACTTTAGTATTGTTATATGGAGTCCTGTTGTTTCCAGACTCTTAAAAAATGCTTGTGACTGTATGGCAAAAGTAAGTGAAACGCAGCATTATGTGCAGGCATTACTTAAGGCTTCTACTGTTTTCAGATTTTATGCCAGTGTGTGAAGACTGGAATTTGAAGCAGGATGCGTCTTATATCTCACGTTCACTTCACTCCTGTTGTGAACTTTACTTTTAATGGAAGGCTGCACTTCTGAATAGAAAGCTCTGCTGTCTTCATTAATCTCATATGTTCTGCTATAGAACAACATGAATTTAGGGCTGACCTCTTTCAAGATGAAAACCATATATCAACTGTGTGAAGCGCCAGGATTTTACTGAAGAAAGCTTGAATACATGAACTTTAATTTGTAATCTACACTGAGTAGAAAATGTAGAGGTAGCCCAAGAAGTGACACTTTGTTTTTTTGGTAGCTGTATATTTTGGTGTATACATTGAAAATAACTGAAAGTAATTTTTTGCATTTGTCTAATTAGCAAAGGATTTGTATTACTTAGCTCACCTCGAAAACCACTTTTTCTGAATCGCTGTTGTAGTACTCAAGACCTGATTGGCAGTTAGTAATAAAGAGTCTTAGTGGTAAAAGCTTGAGCGTTGGCAGTGAATCAGGATAAATCTGGATATGCATTATCTATATTCTTTATTCCCTTTGTTAGGAAAACACAGTTCTAGATACTTTCTTGATATTTCCCCCTATTCTTCCTTTTAAGAAGTTACAAATGCAATAGGTAAGTTAATGAAGTGCTGTACTGTTCTGTTTTGGTTTTTATTTTGCTGTTGTGGTGACTTTGTCTTAGCATTGGGGTTAGCTCATCCGTAGAGGGTGCTAAAGCACCGTTGTGTGATGCTTTAGCAGGTCAGGAAATTGGTTTGGCACAGGTGCTTTTAGAGCAATGCTCTCGGTTGTTGCTCTCTGGACTTTCAAAAACTTGTGTACGTGCTTGGCTCTGCGTCCTGTGATCAGTCCCATTTAATTCAGTGAAGCTACTGAGTTTACAGTTAAGTGTGTGCTTATCTGTTTGTAGGATGAAAAGCTAGGAAGCTTTTTTAGTTAAGATTTTTGAAAGAGAAGAGAATGGAGCTTGGTATGCTGAACACACACAAAAATAATTTTCTCAAAAATCTTGCCAGTGTCTGCTTTTGAGAAGATTGCAGAAAGACCTTTTTTAGAGTGCCTGGGGAAGTTTTGTGTATGTGATATGTATTCCTTATGTTGCTGGAGGCTGTATCTTCTAATGAATTTAAAGGAGACAAAGCTATGAGACAGAAGTGAATATTTGGAGGAATCAGCTTCTTTGTATAACTCTTTTGATCCAGAATACCACTGAAATACAAAACTCCAATTAATCTTTTTTTCTCCCTTTCCATTCTTCTTGATTTGATAGCAGAGATAGAGAGTTAATCTTGATCCATCCTCTTTCAGCCCTTTTATGGGTATGTAATTTTTGCACTTTACTACTTGTTCTTTACAATGGCATCAGGCAGGTGGCAGAGGGAAGAAATGTTAAGGGTCAACGTGGTATAAACCCATGGCATTTAAGTATCTGAAAGCATGTATACTTTTCTGTCAAACCAGCTATTCTTATAATTATCAAGCTTTTTAACTAAACATACTATTTTGAAGGATTCCACAGAGCAGCTGTAGGCCGCTTATGCTGTTGCAACACTAGCAGTGTTTTGCGGGCACAGCTTGGAGACTGCTGGTTTAGATATTGAGCTTGCAAATTCCAGGCTTGATTCTGCCAGAAACTGTCAGTCAATTTTCTGAATAAGCAGTAATGAATGTTAATTATGGGAGTCAAACACCTAATTTTTTTCATGTAAATGCAGATATGTTAACTGTTATATGTAGACTTAAATGCACAGCTTTTATGTTCATTTAATATCTCTTCATTTTAGGCATTACCCAATTGGTTTGCTGTTTGATCTCCATGCATCAAATACAGCCCTTCCTTGGAGCATCACAGTGCATTTCAAGGTAAAAATGAAATACACCTTTAGTTAAGAACAAGTGAGCATGGGATTACATAAAATTGGGGAGCTAGGAAAAGGTTTCATAATTATTTTATAAAGAAGTGAATGATATAAGTCGAAGGGGAGAATGTTTATTCCTCGGAGATCATCTAAAGCTTTCTGTAAATCTGCAGCTGTTTTCCATGAGATTGTATGTGCTTTCAAATTACCTTCTTTTGAAAAAGATTCTGTAATAATCTAAAAATCCAAGATTTGTTTTTTCAAGATAAGTTATGAGACTATGTCACTGCAATTGAGTGGATATAAGGGAAGAACTTTCTATAACATTTTTAATTCAGTCAGCTTTAGTTGGCTGAAGATTAGGAAGTGCTTCTCCTTTTAGACACATACGTATGGATAGGAGATACCGGAGAAATCATTGAAGTCAGGGAATACTGTTGTACTTGATGTGGGTGCCCTTTAGACAAATGAGTTAAATGAGTTTGGTCTTGTGACAGCTTAGACACAGGAGAGAGATTATTTTGATTACACATTGTAAAACCATTAAATATGACTTCATAGCACAACTGATCTTTGCTCAGAAGAGTACTTGTGTGGGGTTTGCTTTGGTGCAAGGTTCTTTCATACTCTGAAATGCTTTGAGACGGTGATCCCAGGTATGTTTTGAAGTCAAAATCACAACTAGAAATCATGGTATTTAACTTTGGAATTTTAAATTCTCCATTGTAAAATAAACAATGCAATAGGAAAAGTGATTCAAAGGAAAATGCTAGGTTAATAGGCTTGACTTCAGTGTGTGAGATTTGGGATGAAATGAAAAGCATACTGGGAAGCAGCTGTGTTGAACATTTTCATTCAAACTGTTCCACTCTTGAAGGTGTTCTAGAAAGGTCTTGCTAACAGGAGTAATCTGATTCTTGTTGGAAATATGCACTGAAATAATACATTCTTATGATATGTGTTTCTGCATGTTGAAACTTTTAGAGTCACTGAATGAATGAATCTGAAGATGAGGGTGTTTTTGAAACCACTGTAACTACACTGCTCTCTGATATATGTCAGATAGAGCTGGGATGAAGAAACTTACAGACTGTTTTGAAGAAACTGTAGGGCACCTAGTCTCATAAATCATTGTTTAATGGTTACACATTCTGAGAGCTCTGGGAGATTAACAGTGGCAGTGTGTGGATGTTGTTATCCTAACGTAGAGCTGTCTTGAGAAATAAGTTGCAGCACCAGTGTGCTTTTCAATTTCATGTAGTAATGTAAACTGACTTAAATGGTGTTTTATTGCTGCTTGGCAAAAGATCAGCTAATTTAAGTTTGTCTCAAAGGTGTACGTTAAAGATCAGCAGAAATAATTTACTGCTAAGGCAGTATTATTTTTAAAGCTAATGTAATTTAGTGTTTAAAAATATAACACCTTGAATTAAGCACCTGCTTGATCTCTCTTCCTGTTCTTGATGTAAGCTGAAAGTTTATTTAAATAAACCCCTCTTAATGCTTAAAGTCAACACATAACTGAAATATGTCAAAGTATGTCCAAATACTGAAGACTTTTTCATGTGTTACTGTTTCTTACAGCTAAATAGTTTAGGTGTGAGATTCCTGGTGGCTTATTATTTTCATTTGTGTTTATTTGTTCTTCAAAGAGCCATAACTTTTATTTGGCTTAATTCAACAGTATTATATTTTTCCGGGGTTTAACTTTTGCTGTCATGGCTTTCTCCTTTCTTTTACCAAAGCATGCAGTCAACAGCAGATATCTTGAACATCTGTAAAGAGTGTTTAACTTCCCCCCCACCCCCCATCAGTTTTCTTTGTTTTAAAGTTTAAAACATGAAAAAAATTTAACAATTCAGCAGAAATTTGAAACCTTGTAGTTGTCCTCCTGTGTTATGTATGCAGACCAAATAGTAAACACACTTACTGCTTGCATTGAAGAAACAGTTTATTCATTTGTACTTCTGGCATGCAATAAAATAATATGGATTTATATCTCCAGTAAAGTTGAAATACAGTTGCCTTCAATAGTCATTGAAGGACAAGCTTGAACAGAGTACTAAGGTCTGAGAATCATGAGAAGCTGTAGTCTGGGAAGTTGCTTTTGTTACCCAGGTGTGGCTTTACGGGGAGCAGGGAAACTCTATCCCTTCCTGTTAATCTCATCTCATGCTGCTCTGTGGCATGCTTAGTGCTATTCGTGTTCTTAACATTGTAACCGACTCTCCAGATTTTGGGCAGTAGATAGGAGGTGATGAACTGCTCTAGAAGTGGTAGCAGGAGAGGAAATTGGGTGTGCCACCCATGGCCTGGTGTAGAGAGGAGAGACTGCATCTGTTTTTGTATAACAACAGCTGTTGTCTTGGTTTTCTTAGCTAAAAATAGGGTCAGGTGGAGTGTAGAGAAAGTACTTTTCCCTGTAGCGTATGGATAAATTGTGGAACTGCTAGGAGCATTGTGGAAGCCAGAAGTATAAATGAGGGGGTTTTAAAATTAATATTTTTGGAAAAAAAGACCACTGATGGTAACTAAACACAAATACATGGATGCTCCCCCTGCCACTGGATATGTTCCTTATGGTTTTTAATGCCATATTATTGGTATAATTTTCTGCAAGTGTAGCCTAATGTACAACTAGACTAGTGGAGTATAAACAGATGTTCTGTGAACTAGAACTGATAGATAAGTATGGGTGGAATGGAGTTATGAAATGGGACGGTCGAAATTACCTGCAATGTTTTTGGAACAGTTTTATGTGAGATGTCATTTAGTTCTTCTGTCTGCACTGATGATGCCTCCTTCTTTATGACCAAGCTTATGCTGCAAGTATCTACTGGTATGTAAAACAAAGCCAGTACTACTTAGCTTTCTAAGAATATCAGAGTCAAACCTTAATAACTTTTCTTTCAAGGAGAAAGAGCATGAAGGGAGTAAGACATCACCAATGTACTTGAATTCAAGTTGTTTATGGGATCTGTTAAAACTTTCTGCAGATCTCATAGTTGTATAGCCAGGGACTGCTACCAGCTTGTTTACAATTGTCTCTTCAGGGAATTAAGTAAAGTTATTTACATGTGATCACTATTTCCTCAAGTAGAAAGAACGCAAGCAGAATGTATATATAAAAAAAAAAAGCATGCATGTTCTATATTTAAGTATAAAACTTATTTTTCTGTGCCCTAGTTTAACCAGTGAGGATGACATATTTTCTGTTGGTAGTCTCATGTAGGTGAAGCTGTTTCATGTGTGTCTTGTAGATGCAGCAGTGTCGTTTCTAAGTTATTGCTTTCACATGTGGGTTTTTCAGCTTCTGCACAAGGTACTGCATAGAAATGTGTCAGTGTTTTTCTTCTAAAGAAAAGAGTAGACAGCACTGAGATTGTAGGAGTGTTTTCCAGTCTTCCACAATATTATCTCTTAGAAGCTGGGAAAATTAATCATTCCACACCTTTGTACTACTATGTCTGGATTCTTTCCACTAGCTTTGACCGATTTTAGATATCTCCTTGCTATTCTGCAGACCACTCCCTGGAACACATCCACAGGGAGTGACATCCCCTGTAATTTGAAATTCATTGGAAGAAAGTCATCAGGAAGATACCTACTATAGGTATCCAAAGACTGGAATGTCCAGAAGAAGACCCAGCAGTTCAATATTTAGACATATGTGTAACAAAACTGCTGTTTTCATAAGCTTAGCTAAAACTTAAGCTGTGAAAGTCAGTTTCTAGGTTAATTCCACTGTTTCATCTTTTTTTGAGGGATGCCAGTGTCTCACTTTGAATTCTTGCACGTAAAGAACTTTTTTGATCTTGAAGTATGCTATTTCTGACTGTTCTTTTCTTCTGGATTGGTTACCAGACTCTGCTTTTTTATTTGAGCAAGTAAATTAAACTTCTAAAAGTATTGTACAGGCCTGTACAGATGTCAACTGGCAAGTAACAATCCCAATAATGTGTTCCATTCATCTTGGTCCCAATTATGCTGAGACGTTCAGCTTTGTAGGGGAGAAACGGAGCACGGTTTGCCCTAGAAGGAGAACTTTCCTTTCTGTTCTGTCCTCTTTAATGTCTTTATGCTTGGCCATCCTCATATGAGAAACAAGCTGTATCTCTGTCCCTAGATTTCTAGTCGTCTGTACACACGTCAGTCCTGAGTAACAGCAGCATTCCCTTTGTGAGTCCAACACCAAACCACATATACTTCGGTGGAAAAGATACTAGCAGTCTTCCCTTTATACTCCTTTTTTTTGGAAGATACTTATCCTTTTGGTACACACTTTCCAGAGTTTGGGTTCACTATTGTAAGGAGGAATCACAATATTAAATCCGTTATTTAATTTCCAGCTCTTTTTCAATAACCTAATGAGGAGGGAACTGTCATTCTTGTCCTCAATTTCCTTCAGGTAAGGCAATCTCCAGCTCCCTTTCATATTGCCAGCTGTTAGCGGTTCTTGGATATTTTGAGTTCCGTTAGTTTGAAGTAGTCTTCACTGTTTTTCCTGGGTTTATGTGGAGGAGGGAAGGTATGGGTTTTTCCAGCATTATATTGCTCCTACTGTGACATGGTAACTATGTTGTAAAAGCCTTTGAAAAATAGCCTGTTATATGTACTTGTATTTCCAAAATGGTTTTGATAGTCCCTCATAAAAGCTTTTTTAAATAGCCAGTTTGTAATGGGTTAAGAGGAAAGGTCCTCTTGTGGAATAAGAGGTGAGCTTACCACATATTTTTATACCTTAATTCTCGTGTTATGAAGGGGAGTGCTAATGATGCCACTGTGGTTTGGCTCTGGGGGTTTGCGCTGTTCAGCATGGTCATAAGCAACTGTGAAAAGAAGATGAATAAGGAGGGGATAAAACATGCCGGTTTTTTAAACCTTTGAAAACTACAGACAATGAATTTGTAATACTTAATGCTTCAATTATTGTAAAATGTCAAGTGATACTAGGTGTTGATAAAAGAAAATTAGAGGAAGAGCAATGCTAACTGTATGCCTATACAATGCTGAACTTCTGATTAGTTAATTTCCCAATAAATCTTTTTCGTACCCGAACAAGATGTACTACTATAATTCCTTAATAAATGGGTTAGGAAAGGTACTTGTCACTTACTTAGGGAATAAAGCTTACATCAGGAGCAGTAATCTGCACCTGCAATGCTGAATGCGTTGCGCCAATTCTAGTCAAATAAAAGGGGTATGGAATCAATATTTATTTTTCCTGCAATGTTTTTCACTGTAGAAACCTTTCTTGTCAGCAGAATAAGAGAATTGTTGTTACCTTCCTCCATAAGTAGAAGATTCCAGTGTGCTTCTTTTGTATAAATGTAAACCTGATTAAAATTATAATTTAATCTTCATCTTCTAAGGTGTGTGCGATGCATTTATTTCTCTTGATCTGTCTTTTCTCTTTGCAGAATTTTCCAGAAAAGGATCTTCTACACTGCCATTCTAAGGATGTGATTGAAGCTCATTTTATGGCTTGTATAAAAGAAGCAGATGCTTTAAAGCACAAAAGTCAAGTCATCAATGAGATGCAAAAAAAGGATCATAAACAACTGTGGATGGGATTACAGAATGGTAAATATAATGCTTCAAGTATTAATTATATTTAGGTCTAGCATGCTACTAAATAATTTCTTCAAATTTTATTCATGGTGCAGAATATAAAATGTCGTTCTGCAAAATTTTAGTCTGTCACAGCGAAGATCTGTTTTATTTTTTTTTAAATTCACCATTTATGTGATAATCCAAATGTGGCTTGAGTTATTCAAGGAACTAAATTGGGTCATGACTCTGTTTTAACAAACCAAAACTATCAACAAAACAAAAGAAATAGATAAATATTGTCTAGTGTACTTTTTGCAACTGATTGTCTTTATTTGGGAGACACCTCGGATGTAAGTGTTGTTCAGTATTAACTGTCTTGGACTGTAAAGTAAAAAAGGTCGTCTTCTCTAGTTCATGCTTAAGGATTCTCACTAATAAACAATATAAGTAAACTTTCAAAAAAGTTGCCAAGTAGGTTAGTAATTGTACTTTTCCTTTTGCCAAATGCAGTGGTTTTTATTGCTGATACTACCATGGCTTTCAGAAAGATTTCTGCATAGATAAGTATTGACTTGAAAAAGTCAGCAAGATAATTCAGAACAGGATGTTCTAAAATAATTGGTATTCTTTACACAGATGGCATGAGCCTATATTGCAGTGCAAAATATAACTTCTTTTGGTTTCAGTGTCTTCTCTTTCTTATCATGGTTCTTAGAAGCCTCTAAGTTGAAAAGCTCTGTAAGTATTTCAGAAACTGCTATCTGGAATGGGTGGTAACACCACTTTCAATGGATTTCTGGTAAATTTATTTTATGGAGGCTGTAAGCATGAACATGTTTATGTTGAGATATTAAACACTGAGAGTTAACATCTTCCCATATGTTTATAAGGAAAATTCAGTGAAACAGGCAAGAATGCAAGATGACTTGAAGCATGTGCTTGCTTTAGGCAGTGAGGTTCCAAATTATTCTGGGTTTAATGTGTGTATTTAATGTGTGTGGGTTTTCTAATTTTTTTAATAATTTAGTGATACTGTCTTTCATACTAAAGGTATTGGTGTAATAATTTTGAAGGATGAGTGTTTACTAGAAACTCTAGTTTCTATTTTTTATTTAATTGGGGGAGAGTTGGAAATTCAGGTATTATCTTAATTTGCCATTTGAGTGGTAAGATCTTGAGGGATGCAGTACATACCTGCAAAATTTGTCGGGTAAGAAATTGCACTTTATCTTGTTCAGTTCAAAGGACTTATTGAGAGATTCTGTTTTCTATAGGTATTAGTGAACTGACTGATAAAATGCTCACTTTTGTGAATTATCAGTAAATGAAGAGTTCTGGTCCACTGGAAGCCAGAATCAGTATAAAACCAGATGTTTCCCTAAAGCTTGCATTGTTACAAATCAATTTTAACTGCAATTTTAATAATTCTGTGCAAAAGTATTCTGCTCTAATAGTATTTGTCTTGCAAGCAGTTTAGTTTGAGAGAAGTAAAATGCTGTGCCTGCGTGGTTTTGTTTTGTGTTTCAAGAATTATTAGCTTTATTGTGAAAGAAATCCTGTCACCTAGTCCCACTGCTCAAGTGTTCCCAGCAGTGCACTTTATGTGCTCTTTTTATTAATGCTTTTAAAAATTAAAACTGAAAGACCTCTATCATGAGTTATAATATAAGCATAATGAGGTATAATATGAGTATAATAATGGCAGAAGAGTCCACTACACAGTGAAATGAATTAAGGTTCTTTTCTTAACCAGAAGTTATAGAATCTCAATACCCTCAATACGTAAGGAAAGAGAACAGATGTGCAATGTGTTCTTTCCATGCTCATCTTAGGCTCTTTTAGTTGATTATTTGTCTAAGAGTATCTT